GCTAAGTCGAAATTCCGACATAGCTAAGTAGAAATAATGACTTAAGTAAATCTAAGTAGAAATTCTAACTTAGCTATGTCAGAATTTTGACTTAGCTAAGTCGGAATAACTACATAGCTAATTCGAAATTCCGACTTATATATGTCAAAATTCCTACATAGCTCAAAGTATCTTGACGTAAGCCTGTCAAGCGGAAGTACTTATTCTTTTTCCTGTTTGGTTGTTTTTGGCGCGGAAACAGAGAGCTGCAGCACCCTTTACCGTAGCGTAGCGTGCACTGGATAACAAACAGCCATTGGAATTCACTCAAAACGGACCCACGCCTGAAATAATCTTCAATTATTCCATCCATCTGAACTGTGTGGTGTGAAAGGTGCTGTAGCGTTAGCTCTCAGTCTCCGCGACGACAGCACCTAAGTTAAATATATGAGTGTCACAGCAACTCCATAGAATACTTATGACCATGTGATATTTCAGTTTTTCTTTTTTAATAAATCTGCAAAAATGTCAAAAATTCTGTGTTTTTCTGTCAATATGGGGTGCTGTGTGTACATTAATGAGGAAAAAAATGAACTTAAATGATTTTAGCATATGGCTGCAATATAACAGAGTGAAAAATGTAAGGGGGTCTGAATACTTTCCGTACCCACTGTATTTCACACAAACTATTGGAGAAGTGAAAGAGTAAAGTTGGTTTTGTGTTGTGGTTGCCCTGAGGGGGTGCAGACCCACTGGCCCGAGCTGAGGTGCACTGACTAATGTTGCATGTGTCAGTTTTTCACAGTTCTGTTTTAGACTTTGCAAGCCTCTCACTTCCTTTTACTTCATCTTGTATAAATGTGTGCCTCATATCATCTGATATCTGAGCAAAAAAAGTGCAAATCTGTCACCAGCCAGTGTTTGGAATGTTTGCTTGAAACGACTTAAACTATTAAAATAGTTGCTGATGAATATTTTGCTGATAACTAAATACTGGACTGCTTATTACAACTCTAGTTACTGAAACACCTTCTGTGATGTAAACTGGTGAATGTGAAGCTCCAGCATTGATCATCATTATGAGCATCACTGCCACTTGATTGATTGAGCAGTGAGCAGTACGTGATGAGCCCATTGCTATTCCTGGAGGCTTGTTGTGGATCAGTTCTGTAAAATGTGATAATGTAATTCAGCAAGCCTCAGACTTCATACTCGTGGTAGAGTTTCTTGTTCTGCTATAAAATTTCAACCGCTAGGCAATTAATCGATTAGTCAGTTGTCCAAAAATTTATGGGAAACTGTTTTGATTACTTTTCATTTAAAAATACCAGCATGTATCTGGAGCTGGTACTGTTTGTCCCATGTGTCAGATAGTTGGGGGTTCTCTGATTTCTGTCACAGCAAACTGGGTATCTTTCTGTTTTGGGCTGTTGGTTAAACAAAACAAGATGTTTGAAGATGTCACCTTGTACTCTGAATAAATTAGGTTGACATTATGTTTTTATTCAAACAAGTGGTCCACACAGTTGAACACACTTAATGATCTGCTCAAAGCCTGACGGTGAAAACAAAAATAAAAGTGCTTATACCTTAATGAACAGCATCTGTTCCGACTGACAGTGAAGGGGCCTGTTTGAGCACTTGGGATGAAGTTTGGGTACAGTCAATGCAACAGCTTTAAGTTTTCCCAAAGAGATATCACTGGAAGTCGTTTGTACCAAGGCCATTCCAGTATGGGCTAGATCAGTGTAGACGGAGAGAGATCAAGAGTAACTCTCCAAGTATGTGGCATCTCTTGCCACATACTTTCACACTGATTTCTCATATCTGTCGGTGCCTTGATGCTGGCCTGTAGAACACTGGAATCTTGAGCATAAGTTATGTCACTTTTTAGAAAAAGAACACTTTTGGTCTTGTTGGAAGCAAATCTGGTGCCTCACCAAGTCTGTGACACGAGGGCACTGAAAATTCAAAAAGAGTAGTCTTAATAGCTTTCAATTCCTCACAGCTACCACATTATTCCTCTTACATCTTGTGTCACTCAAAGTCTGTTTGGATTCCCAGCTGCTTCTGCAACTGGCAGATGATAGGATGAGTCCCACTTTGGCCAAAACAAGTGTACAGGCTCTCTGCTACAGAGGAAAAACAACAGACACTGGCACACCGTGCAAACCTCAGTTACAACAAGATGTAGCTTATGTACCATGCAGTGTACATAGACAGCTACTGGGTGACCCTAGCACTCTGCTGAACACTGTATATTTTCCTAGCCCATGACAGCAGACAACACAGTGCGGCCACAGGCAGGTCGGATATACGGTGTTGCTGCTTAATGCACTCGTCCTGTAAATGCCCTCTGCATCAGAGCTCTGAGAGCTCAGCAAATCCAGGAGAAGGCTACAGTATGTACTTTCATATTGTGAGTGTAAATGTTGTCACACCAAAATCCACCCCAGAGCTTCTGGTGGGTGATCCCGAAGTCAAAACAACACACATATTGCAAGCCATAGTAAAAGAATACTTGATGTGTGTACAGATGAAGATGGACTGGTACAAAAGGCCACAATACAAACAGGAAATAGAGAGCAAAAGAGGGTCACCGACACACCAACCACTCCATTCTTCAGCGTCCTATTCATAAATTAGTGGTGCTTGTAGAAAACAACAAAAATGATTATGACTATCGTTAACTGTGTTTGTACAGATGTTGATCATTTAAGTTTGGAAATTACTAGATTTATTCAAATGTTTGCACAAGGATTTCATAAATCATAGTAATTTGGTGGGAGTGTAACTGTCCAAATGTGGGTTTATGTTTGTTGTTAATGGTGAGAGTATTACTTTTGTTGGTAAAGAGGTTTATTTTGAAGGGCAGTATGTGTCAACCATGTGACTGGAGTTGAGTGAGGGGCGCCAATGTGGCATTATGGGACAGAGTCAACATGGACATAGAGAAGAGACATACAGCCCCAAAGGTGTTATTCTGCACATGGTTCTAGAGGCACAAACGGTAAAATGTACTTTATATGTTGTATTTGTGCTTAAGAGGTGTATATATGATGTATTTGTGCTTGATGTTCATGTGCCTCTATTTGTACACGTTTAAGATTCTTTATTGTCACTTTGTCTGTAGTTTTCATGGTGTCAGAGGAAGCGGAGAGAGAGACAAAAAAATAAAACTTTCTGAAGACATCTGTACGAAGCTAGAACTAAACCGGTGCAGCTACAGGTTTTATTGTGGCAGAGGAGATAGCCAAATCAGCCCAGCCATTTACCGAGGGAGAGTTTCTGAAGAGCTGCATGATGAAAGTGTGCGACGTTCAGTCAAAAAGCAGTTGTTTGCAAATGTAAGCCTTAGCAGAAATGCGGTTGCTGATTTTAAGTTTAAGTTTGTGTATTTATTTTGGAATAATACTGTATCCTGTCTGTTTCGATTAATATTTATGTTCAAAAAACATTTAGTTTTAGTCTGTTCAATAAATGTTTATCCTGTTCGGCCTGCGACCTAAAGTGTGCTTTGAGTTTTGGCCCCCTGTGTGATTGAGTTTGACACCCCTGGTGTAACATGTGGATTTACATTTTTTCCAGTCTGTCTTAAAATAACAGTCAGGGAAACAAGATCTTCTTCCCTGTTCACGACTGGACATTAACAGATCTCTTCTTAGCATGGTTCTAATGTGAGTGATGGAGAATGACACCCACCTTCCCCATTTTTTGTGTAAAATATATTGTGAAGTTATTATGTGGATTCGGCACTCTGAGTTAGACACATCAAAGGTAGCAATCACATCTGAGACCCTGGACTCTGAAAAATATGCAAGTTATTTGAGTATTAATGATGGGATTTCTGCCAGTAGACTAATCATTTCATCTCTAAATGTGGGACTATTCTCATCCTGGTTAGTCCTACATGGATGTTGTCCTTTTCTCCCAGACTTTAATTAAACAGTGACATCAGAACTGAGACAAGTTAGTTGTTTCATTACGAGTATTGTTTTGTCTCCATCACAAAGAGTCTGTTACTGTTGATGGACATACTTAGCAGGGCGTATTTTCCTCATGGTGTTGATTTCATCTCCAACAGGTTATTGTCGATGATGATGACAGTAAGGTGTGGTCACTGTATGATGCTGGTCCAAAGAACATCAGGTGTCCCATCATCTTCCTCCCTCCAGTCAGCGGGACAGCGGAGGTGTTCTTCCAGCAGGTGTTGGCTCTGACAGGCTGGGGCTACAGAGTCATCTCGGTGAGTTAGCCCCCAACATGGGGCAGGGTTTCACATTGTTTCCATACATCTGGGTCATCTCTGTTGTCACACTGGAAATTTTTTTGTTTTATTTTTTTCCTTTTACACTACTGTGGCACGCATAAAGTGTGACCCTCTTTGATCAATTATAGGGAGAACCAAAAGTCTCATTTGAAGTTTCTCACCTGTACATAAAAAGGTACTCTGTACGCTGGGGGAGTCTGCCAATGTGTATATATATATTTATATATATAGTGTTTCATAAACTATTTCTACCTCTATCTCTCTCCATTCATCAGTGAACACAACCTCAGGATTTACAGTGCCTTGCAAAAGTATTCGGCCCCCTTGAACTTTGCGACCTTTTGCCACATTTCAGGCTTCAGACATAAAGATATAAAACTGTAATTTTTTGTGAAGAATCAACAACAAGTGGGACACAATCATGAAGTGGAACGAAATTTATTGGATATTTCAAACTTTTTTAACAAATAAAAAACTGAATAATTGGGCGTGCAAAATTATTCAGCCCCCTTAAGTTAATACTTTGTAGCGCCACCTTTTGCTGCGATTACAGCTGTAAGTCGCTTGGGGTATGTCTCTAACAGTTTTGCACATCAAGAGACTGAAATTTTTGCCCATTCCTCCTTGCAAAACAGCTCGAGCTCAGTGAGATTGGATGGAGAGCGTTTGTGAACAGCAGTTTTCAGTTCTTTCCACAGATTCTCAATTGGATTCAGGTCTGGACTTTGACTTGGCCATTCTAACACCTGGATATGTGTATTTGTGAACCATTCCATTGTAGATTTTGCTTTATGTTTTGGATCATTGTCTTGTGGGAAGACAAATCTCCGTCCCAGTCTCAGGTCTGTTGCAGACTCCATCAGGTTTCCTTCCAGAATGGTCCTGTATTTGGCTCCATCCATCTTCCCATCAATTTTAACCATCTTCCCGGCCCCTGCTGAAGAAAAGCAGGCCCAAACCATGATGCTGCCACCACCATGGTTGACAGTGGGGATGGTGTGTTCAGGGTAATGAGCTGTGTTGCTTTTACGCCAAACATAAACGTTTTACATTGTTGCCAAAAAGTTCGATTTTGGTTTCATCTGACCAGAGCACCTTCTTCCACATGTTTGGTGCGTCTCCCAGGTGGCTTGTGGCAAACTTTAAACAACACTTTTTATGGATATCTTTAAGAAATGGCTTTCTTCTTGCCACTCTTCCATAAAGGCCAGATTTGTGCAGTATACGACTGATTGTTGTCCTATGGACAGAGTCTCCCACCTCAGCTGTAGATCTCTGCAGTTCATCCAGAGTGATCATGGGCCTCTTGGCTGCATCTCTGATCAGTCTTCTCCTTGTATGAGCTGAAAGTTTAGAGGGACGGCCAGGTCTTGGTAGATTTGCAGTGGTCTGATACTCCTTCCATTTCAATATTATCGCTTGCACAGTGCTCCTTGGGATGACACACTCTTGTGTGTTACAGCCTGCTCAGTGTTTTATAACTAAGGTGTCACTTTATTTTTAAGCTCATTTAATAAGACAAGTTGAACCAGAACAGACTCATTTGGAGCAGCATAGAAACACATACAGTACACACATGGATCACTGTGTAGAGCTATGGGCAGCTTCTGCACAACTTCTATAATTAATTAAAGTCCCACTCCAGAAACATTTTCATTTTTATATTTGTATATAAAAATACTTTACTATAAACAATATGCAGTCTAACACAGCTTTTCCTCAAAAAAATTTCAGTGGGCCTCTGTAATAGGAATGAACATTGCCCCTCATTGTGCATTCCAGGATCTATGAATGTTGCCGTCATCCCTTATGTGGATTTGAATAATTTTGCACGCCCAATTTTTCAGTTTTTTATTTGTTAAAAAAGTTTGACATATCCAATAAATTTCGTTCCACTTCATGATTGTGTCCCACTTGTTGTTGATTCTTCACAAAAAATTACAGTTTTATATCTTTATGTTTGAAGCCTGAAATGTGGCAAAAGGTCGCAAAGTTCAAGGGGGCCGAATACTTTCGCAAGGCACTGTAGTCTTTTATGAGTTATGGGTATTTTTTATCCAACTCGCAGAAGGAATGTAAGGTTTCTATCTTTACAGCTGATCACTTGTGAGCTAGAGTCACATGTCCCAGGTCATCAGGAGTAGTTGTAAATCTGATGGAAACCAAGCAATAAAAACCTTTTGTCATCTATAATGTGACAACGCTGAGTCAGCTCATAAAGCACTGGAGAAATATCATTCTCCGTGGAAAAAAGTCTGATGCTTATTTTCATTATATTTCTAAGTAATAATGAACCAGATAACAGAGGTTTTCAGAGGTCACACTGTGTATTATGTGGGCTGAATCCAAATGTTCATTCACTTCACCGTACCACAGACTCTCAGACTTGACAGCCGAGTTCCTAGTAAGTCCTGAGGTCTAAAGCCATTTGGTCTGCAAGAGCCTGCTTGATGTACCAGACCAGACTTCACTTTCAAAGTTATCCTTGTTTGTTTCTATTTTGTTGGATACATTTATTGACATACTGGGGTTTTAATAATATACACAGTAATTAGTGTTGGATAATAGGTCAGCAGTACGGCCATGTGAAGGCTGGTTTCCATCCATTAAGAGCTGGAGGCTCCTCGGTTTAATTTCCTGAAAATAAGCCTGACTTCCTGAAACAAACCAGGTTTACCTAATCGTGTGATTTATGAACCAGCCCTCTGAGAAGGACCTATTTTCCCCACATGTGATGACAAGTTCATGTTTCATTGAAGACAGTACACCAAATCTCTCAGGTGTGTCAGCTGAAAAAGAACTTTGTCTCCACAAAATATCATATGAGAACAGACGCTGCGCTGATGAACTTGTCTTTATGTGATAGACCTTATAATTCCACCATGACTGTTTCCAGCTGCAGTATCCAATCTACTGGGATCTCATTGAGTTCTGTGATGGCTTCAGGAAGCTTCTGGATCACCTGCAGTTGGATAAAGTAAGTCTGTCTGACTCCGATTTCTCTGTAAATTAGCTGAAAATATCTCGGTAGGACAGTGTGACTGTCTGTAGACAAACAACACAGGACTCGGGTTTAAAAGAATCCAGGTACAGCTCTACAGTCCAGTAACATGTAGTGGAGGGTTTAAGGATATGAGCTGTTTGTGTGTGTACATTAGGAGGTAAATAAACAGCAATCTATAGTACAGCTGGCATACCATGTTCATGGCAAAGGCAAATTAGACAAATACTATTGGAAAAAATAGCCAACTTCTCCATAAAACGTTTTAGAAACTAGTAGCACTAACAGGAATTATGAAGATGATGATAACAGAAATCTGAAATAAATGAACAAACATTACTCTGGATCCCAATAAGAAATATATAAAAACACTCAGCAGGACCCAGACTGCTCCTGCCTGAGTATAATAATGGGCCTCGTGGTAAAAACACAGCAGACGGTCTCAACACCAGTGGGAGGCAAATAGCGGCTTGTGGGCAGTATCATAAATAAATACATGTATTTTTCAGTTTCTGATATTTTATATTTAATCAATTGAGAAAATAATCACACGAAGATTTGACAAAAGTTCATTAGTTGCAGCCTTAATAAGAGTCATGTTTGCTGTAAGCTTGTTAGCTCCTACTAGCTCATGGGAAAATGGCATCTTGGATATGACCCTAAGAAAACACATTTTATAAATCTGTTTCATTACTTAAAGAAACATAGACGACATATCATCTCCACTGTGCCTGCAAACTACAGAACAGTGATGAACAAAACTGGCCCACGGTTCAACCCCTGTTCTGCAAACTCCAAATGTTACAGAGGTTTTATAGAGCACTGTTGCTTTAGAAAATACAAAGAATTGCACATAATACTGTGGCTGCTAGACTTTAACTGTGTCTGAACGCAAGTCACAACATGTGAATGATCAGTTTTCACATTTTGGAAGCAGTACTGACATGTCCTCTTCCCATCCTCCTGTTCACACCAAGACATTAAGCAACCTCTTCCTAAAGCAATAACAGTGTACAGTGGGTGATGGAGGACCAAATCCACAGTCCCACTGAGTGTAAATAGGGATTCTGGAGGTAGGTCTAAAACAGATGGCTAAAATCAGATGAGGTGTGATGCAAGGCCTGTGGAGTTAGTCTCCATCTTTTACTTCCAGATCATGTCAGGAAGGAACCTCCTCATAGCCAGTGTGAACAGGAGTGACTACAGTCACCAGCAACTCTTTCAGTGTACACAAGGACTTGTGAGGATTGTTAAGACAGACTTGAGAAGTGTGATCCTGTCTTTTTAAGCTAGTTATTACCATAGTGTGTTAATAACTGTGTGTTAAACACAGAAGTGAATAGCAGACACCACAGGATGTATTCAGCAAAGACAGGAGGTAAACACACACACACACACTGAATGTGGAATATAGATTATATAACACATTCTATATTGGACTAAGGGGGTGCCCAATTTTTGCACATACTAGACTTTTTCTATTTTTTAAGGTAATGAAATGAAAAGTAACAGTGAATTAACATTTGAAGAACGGCTCATGTTTAATGTCTGTTTGCTGCAGAGGCTGGATTTATTTCATTTGATTTCAAAAATCAGCTAAATATGGAATTTGTCCTGTGGGAAAAAAAAATCCCTGCAGGAGCTGATTGTCCAACTGCTGACAGGGTCATATCTGCCCTATGAGAGTGGTGGCTCATCACTGCCCAAACTAATAACCCATGTCTCCTGTACACTCTGTCTCTGTGTGCTAATGATCCTGTCCTGTCGCTTGAACCTTCAGGTCCATCTGTTCGGGGCATCTCTTGGGGGATTCTTGGCTCAGAAGTTTGCAGAGTACACACACAAATCTCCCAGAGTTCATTCACTGGTCCTGTGTAATTCATTCAGTGACACCTCCATCTTTAATCACACATGGACAGCTAACAGGTAGTATGTAAAGACTCCTTCACACGTTATCACGTCATCGTTTGCAGTCGTCATTAATGTATTAATGTTTTGTTTCCCCACTGGTCCTCAGTTTCTGGTTGATGCCAGCCTTCATGTTGAAGAAGATTGTTCTGGGGAACTTTGCTAAAGGACCTGTGGATACTAAAATGGCAGATGCAATTGACTTCATGGTTGACAGGGTAAGTTGGCATTAGGGAGGTGCTGTGTGTAAGTGTAATGTGTCCCTGTAGCATAAAGACATACAGGAGTGTGAAGTCAGAGGAACAGCGGTTGGCTTGAGGTAAATGTAGCTCTTGGGTTGTCTGAGGAGAAAACAGGAGAGGAAGATTTAGTTTTTAATTGATTGAGCCATTGTTTTTATTTCCTTCATAGCTTTGTGTACACTCAGTAATACTGTGGGCTTTAATGTATCCCAGTAGATGAAGTTAATATGTTCAGGGATTTTAAACAGCAGCCTGTAGAGGTGATGCGTTACTACTGTCAGCACAGGTAGGACTGCTAACAAGTTAGGTTTACAGGATTTAATCACCACTGAGACCTGTCAGCATATATCAGACCACTTTGATGTGTTTGCTTCAGATGAAAACACTCGGTCCCCATCACTGTCTCACTGACAAGTCGCTCTTTGTGTTTATCTGCAGCGCACCAGTATCTTGTTAGTTTCTACCCCCCTCTCTCTCTCCTGGTGTCTGCCCTGTGATAGGCTCCTTTTACATAAGACCCACCCTATTGAGATTGACAATCAAAACTGACTCATGACAGCCTGGGCACATCAGAGAAAGCAGAAATTACTGGGAGTTTTTTTTTTTTTTTTTAAGTGGTGTTAGACGTCTGTCAGAGTTTGTGTTGCGTGTGTTTAAAGAGAAGTGATTGATGTGAGCTTTACATAAAGACTGGAAACATCTAGTCTGACTTATCTTAGCATAAGCATTAGCCTTAGCTAATTCATTGTGCCTGTTCACAAACGTATGGGGTCATCTGGTTGTAGTGGGCATTCCTCTGTGTGCTCTAACTGTGTCACAGTTAGCAACATTTGGATGTAGTGAAGTAGCAGCTTCTCATAGCGTCGTCGTAACAGTGAAGTGGTCAGGTTTGGTAAAGAGTCCTGAACTAATTCTTGTGCTCACTTACTGTATCTGGCAACCCGCTGCGGAGTCGAATCGGGCTGTCGAAACCCTATTTGTCAAGAAACGTTGCAAACATAAAACTCTTCCTAAAAGTGCACATTGTGGACTGTGGACAGTCAGGCTAGCTGTTTCCCTTTGTTTGTAAAGAAATGAAGTGCATTTCAACTGCTCCTTTTTAACCAGGTGCCCACTTTGTTTCTTTAAGTTTAAATATATTATGTCTTTATGTTTGAATGTTAATCTCTCTTCCGTGTGTGTGTGTGTGTGTGTGTGTGTGTGCGCACTGTAGTTGGAGAGTCTGAACCAAAGTGAGTTAGCATCACGGCTAACGCTGAACTGTCAGAACTCTTATGTGGAGCCGCACAAAATAAAAGACGTTACTGTCACCATTATAGATGTAAGTAGGATGACTTATACCAGTATCTATCCAAGTTTGTTTCTGCTACATGAAGCTGATTTATAGGTTTTCGCTGTGACTGTTCAGGTGTTTGATCAGAGTGCTCTGTCAGTGGAGGCCAAAGAGGAGATGTATAAACTGTATCCTAATGCCAGGCGAGCCCATCTGAAAACGGGGGGGAACTTCCCGTACCTGTCCAGGAGTGCTGAGGTCAACCTCTACATACAGGTACAGTTCCCCTCGGTTTTGTCCAATTTCAAATCAAATCTAACACAGTAAAATGTGCAAAAAGTGAAGGGCTCTGAATCCCTTCTGAAGCACCTTTATCTTATGTGCATGTTGTATTAGAGTTGAGAACCTGGTGATTAGAAAACTCGAGGATCAGAATGTGGTAAAATCATAAATACATTTTGGTATGTCCGAAACTAAAATCTCTCTTTAGATCTGACACCAACAGGTGTTTAGAAGACCCCCTCATTTCTGTGACAGTCTGGTTAAATCAGATGTGTGTCCATCTAATCTCACCTTTGCCCACAGTCATTGTTGGGACTCACAACTGTGGCAGCTGTATGCAGTGCATTCACAGCCATCCACACACGCCATGATGTTGAGACACCAGGTGTGATTACTTGAAGTAGAACCACAATATCTCATCAAGTCCATATGACCTTACCTATGTTGCCAAAACATCCTGCTCTTTGTGCATATGCACTAGTGACCACACATCGAGTATTAGACAAGGTAATGTGGAAAATCCAGTTGCAATTCACTTTATAAAGGCAGGACATAAGATGTATATGTGATATGGTGGCACTGAATCGGACACAAAGGCAGCTGCTCCACCATGCTGCACACCAGGATCCACCCATGCAGATGCCATCCATTCACCTGCCCTGTGTCTCACAATGACATGGCGGTTTGAACAAAACATCTCACATTTGGACTCATCAGACCAAAGTGCGGAATTCCACTTACAATGCCCAATTTCCTTCAACATGTTGTTAATGCTGTGGCATCATGTCTCAGACCCTTACGAAGGAACTGCTAATATTTGCGGCATATTATGCTACTAACTCAGCAACATTTAATGTGGGCAATTTGACTACATATAAACAAACATGGGCTAAACCCAAGGGCTAAAAGCTAGCAGCACACATGATGAGCTTTGACAGGGTCTGTTAATGCACCTCTGTTGTTGTCGGGAAGTTTCCATTGATCAGATTAGCAAAAACATGTTGGACTTCCTGTTTTTATGCAGGAGTCAGATTTCACTGAGTTAAAAAAAAAAAAATGCAGTGTTCGACTTCAACTGCATGTGTTTTATGTAACACTTTATAAACAACACAGAGCTCACGCAGAAGGAAATGGAACAAACCCAAAAGGGAAGACACTATAGAAGTAATGAAAAGAGGAAATAAGAATAAACAATGTCAGTGTTGCTCATCTGGTACACTAACATGACAGGAGGATTTGCCAGGTCACAGAAAAACAGGAGCTTACTGTGACTGCAGTTCTTACTGGGTTTAGATCACTGAGCAGGTCATGTTTCAGTCACCTCACACTCCCCTACAGACAGAAATCCAGTCTGAATGGGACTTTAGATCATGGACCACTGTGATGTTTTCCTGTTGTATACTGTTAATTCCCCACTCACTGATACTGTACTGAGCTGTGCTGCTTTGACTCCGTACAGATTCACCTGCGTCAGTTCCACGGGACGAGGTACGCCGCCATCAGTTCTGACATGGTGAGCGCTGAGGAGCTGGAGGTGCAGGAGAGTCACCTGAGCTGTAACCAGGACTCTGAGGACGAGCGGTGAAACGACCTTTACCTGACGGCTGTTTCCTCTGAACATTCCCAACCACTTCTCTCGCAGTTCACAGGACATTCTCCAGATTTTCTATGGAGCTCAACAATCAACCACAGAGTCGAGTGGGATTATTTTTATTTGACAGATGAAGCAATATTTTAATATTGACCTGTACATAAATGTTTCTCAGCTGCTTTTCTTTAAAATGTATGACTTCTGCCTTATCTGGAATGAATCTGATTATTGCTGCACTCATAATCTGCCTGAACTGTTTGCCTCAAGTGTCCATGTTTGTGTAAAATATATAATATGGTTTAACACTGCCAGCAGTGAACTGGTCACCTTTTAAATGGTTAGACTGGTTATGGAGAGACATCATATCTGACTGTTTGTGTAATTCACTGGGATGAAATGACACCTTTTTTTTCTATTTGTTTTGGAGCCTTTACAGTAACTTTTGATTTTCACGTTGTGCAGTTCTTGTGTCCCAGTGGTGAACTGACTGAAACATGCTGTGGCTGTGAGCAGAGAAGAGCCGTACAGCTTTCAGATGCAGTCTTTGACTCACCAGTGTCTCCTTATAACAGGATCATCTGTTGACCTGCTGAAGCTCCATTTACTAAAGCTTTATGAGAAACGAATAAACCAACACAAAGGTGGAAATGCAGTGACATATATTAATCACAGTTACACACTTATCAACTGCCTCTTAAGTTCAGTATCTGCTTGGACCACAGTCTTACTGTTTTGTTCACTCTCACTGCTGTCGGGACACTGTCCACTGGCTGCTCGGCAGCAAACGGCAGACACGGAGACTAGCTGGTGAACACAGTGGAGCTGTTAACAGCTACTCTGTTGCCCCTGCAGTCTGTCACTGTCTGCTGTTTGCTGCTGAATCATGGTGGGGAAAAAAGGCATTATTTTTGCAGGCCTGCTGTGTAGGCTACAGAAAAAGAACATTCACATAAAATATATTACAACCTTTAACACTGTATTTCTATTTCTGGTTAAGTAAACCATTTAGTAAATGAAACCTTTAGTTTGAAGGATGACTCTGAACTTTACATACTAAAAGCAGGATCTAAACACATCGTCTTGAAACGTGTGGATTCTGCAGCTTTGCCCCAGAACCTTCTTGGTGTGAGTAGGCTGTGCCAACCACAGCACCACCATGCAGTACTGTCCACTGAGTCACGTATAACGTACCAATTTCTTTCTGAGGATGAATGCACCGTTGGATATCTCATCAGAGGTCACAGACCACTATCTCTAGCTTCAGAGCCCAAGTTACCACAGTAACTGACTCGGAGTTAAAATCATCTGTCTGGAACAGAGTTTCCCTCAGCTGAGTAACTCCACTTAGGTGGTTATTATAGTACCACCATGAGGTCAGTAGATGTCATTTTCATTGCCTGAGTAATGGGTAACTTTTTGAACATCTCTGCCAAGCAGAAATGAAAAGTAACCCAGTATATTGAACAGTGAGTTGAATCGTTTGTAGAGGTGAATGCTGCTAAATGTTTTATGAATTTGGTTACATGTAAAAGAACAGTCAGGTGGGTCTTTACACCTGACTGAAGGTTTGAATCTGCTGCACTGTCCCTCCTGCTCGACCATGTTTATAGGTACAAGTATGTGGGAGTTGTAGTGACTTCTATTCAGGTTTTATTTTGTTTTGTTTTTTTATAACTAGCAATTAGAGCATGAACAGCATCAGTCTGACGACCATGCTGTGTTCAAGCCACCATCATCTGCACAGACCCAGCAAAAACAAAAATATAGAAGATATAAACCAGCCAGACTATTGTAAAGTCTCTCCTTTCCACTGATACAGTACTGTGGAACTTTATACCAAACACTTGCAATAAAAGTGATTAGAGGTGACAACGTACACAATGTCAACAGACACTCTTTAATCTGCAGGTATTTCATTAAGGTCACAATTTCCACATGAAGCAATTTAAACCAAATGGTGACCCCGTGTACTGTCAGTCTAAACATAAAACTGGTGTATTTTCACTAGGAACTCCCTCACCCATAAAATCCATCAAACCTAAAAAAAAAAAATGCCCAAGGCACCAAGTTAAGTCCAACTAGCATCCAACATTTGTGTGAACAACAGTGCTACAGGCCACCAGCTTCAGGATACCATCATTTATTAGATCAGACGTTCAACCACCAAAACAACAAAGTGACAAGTGGACTGTAAAAGTAAATTAAAAACATTTAGCATCAGGAGCCCAGAGGAATAAATAAAATAAAAACTTGAACAAGGCTCAGGGCGAGGGCAGCTTCTAAATGATCACAACACTACTCCCGTGATATTATCTCTGTACAACACCTGAATGGATGCATGTGAAGCAGCAGTTTCTATTTGTAGAAAAGAAAAAAAAAATCTGCTAAAATATGAAGCCATGAAATAATTACTGCTCAGCAACACTCAGTGGATGGATGTTTAAAGATGTGCAAGTTCAGTGTGCTAAATGCGTTTGTCAGCAGAAAAAGTTGCCAAAGTCACCCATGCCGTTGCGTTTGAACTGGTTCCCCTGAATTGAGACAAAGATCTGGTGGTCCATCAGATTCTGGACAGGTCGGCTGCAGGACGTCTCCTTGTTTCTGCTCAGCTGACGACTGAAGTGCCACCTCCTGGCTGAGGTGGAGGCCACGTCACCATCTGTGCTGTTTTTCTCTATGGACTCAGGCTGAACAGCTGCTGAGCTGCTGGAGGTTGTTTCGGATGTGGAGACAAGAGGATGTGAAACTCCTCGCTGCTCTTTGTCTTCAGCCTTCTGTTCTGTGGGTTCTTTGGAAACAAAAGCTCCGTTAAACATTGATTATGTACTTTTTTAAATTTTTTTTTACCTGTACTGATCTCTGATTTATTATCTGCTTGTTTCTTTAACAGACCTGCCAACCTTGAACAAAGTCATGGTGTGACTTTATCCCTTTTACTTCACATCAGTCTTGCTCTGAAAATGCACATCATTTGATGTTCATTTATTGACCTGCAGAGTCCAGAATAACGTGGAGATGTAGTTTTATAGGAGTTTCTGCAGCACATGCACCCGCCTTTTTTCAGTCAAGGTCCATGAGGCTCATTACAATTATGGGTTTGGCTGCAATAATTAATATTAATAAAGGTATACTCAAGGATTCCATGTCATTATACATTTTGTCATATTCAGCTCAATGATCTTCACATTTCTCTGCCTGGCCTTTCAGTTTGTATGCTCCAAACCCCAGGTGGCTGTGTGCTGTGCTTACTCTGTAACGAGTAGTGGAAAAAAATTAATTTGCAGATCCTAGCCACTGACTACCTTCACTTCTGTCCAGAGGAACTCTGCATTGCTCGCCGGTGCTGGACTTCACCAGAATCACTCCGTAGCCTTCATTGTTGTGGATCACATTGTTCTCCATGGTAATGGACGGCATCACATCCAGCTCATCTGCAAAGTCCTGCACACACAAACATGTTGACCAAATAAACAGAGGTTTACTGGAACTTCACTTCAGGTGTTTATGGATTAACTGTACAGATGTCTACTCGTTACATCCAGTCAAGTGTGTCTGCTTAGTCTCATTTCTAAGTCTGTTAACACATGGTTCAAAAAGCCTAGTGGCTGATAGGGATGGGTGATGGATCACGATAATGAGTCGCCATTGTGATTTACGACACTGTATGTGAAAATACTATTAGTATAGGAAATGACCAGCCTTATCCTTTAAGCTAGACAATTAAAAAGTGTTTCCTCAAAGCAGCAAATGTAATAGTTTCCAGGTTGAATATTTGTAAGTCTTCTGATCTTACCTTGATGAGGATCCCGTCCTTACAGTGATGGATGCCATTACTAACCAGACTGCAAACACTGCCAGGGTAAATCTCCAACCCAGCCCCCTGTGCACAAACCACCACAACATGACTAACCACATATTGTATGCGGTCACATCCACAAAAACAGTATCAGCCAACCCAAACCAGTATCACTGGAGATGTTAGTAAAAAAACAGTGATTCACCACAGTGGGCAGCAGACTTCACCAACAACAACCAACCTGACAACTATATGTGAAGTTCAGCCTCAGAGGAGTCTGTGCCTGTAGTCAACATCATACCACACTTACCTTGGAGCCATACAGGTCACACATGTTCATGTTGAGACGGGCCGATGTTCGGACGATAACTCCTGTGGTCTCACACTGCAACACGCAGTTCTCCATGTTGAGAGTCCCCTGACGGACACCTGACAATTAACAAGAGGATGTCAGTATGCTGACATGGCGTTCCACTGTTACACACTCAAACCCTTCATTACTTGGAAATATGACTTTGACTACTGTTGTACATATGTTTTTGATGGATATAATCACAATCTTCATTTTGTTTACACTAATAAATGCTACTGCCTGCAAGCTGCAATCACAGATAAAACACTTCTGTATTTTTTTTTCTTTGTCATAAATACCATTATTGCAAATTTCCTTGAAATGTCCTGATAATTTTGAGGCTATATCACCCAGTCCTACACACCACAGCACATGGGAGCAACAATCATGATAATACTGTAGTAACTGAAAAAAGGGCGTCTCCACCGTCACTGCAATGTCGGGTCAAAGTGAGCACACCAGTGATCACAAACACAGAGATGAAGATAATATGTCTGTATGTGGAGGTTATACAGTCACCTCCACAGCCAGAAGTTACCATGAACTTAACTATTAACTTAACTTAACCATTCCAGTATTGGATCACCCTAAAGGAAGTACTGCAATTTAATTCAACTCAGAATATCAGGCAACATGAAGCTAACAGATCAGCAGGGTGGCAGGCAGACTGCTCTGTCTATAGCAGCCCCAGGTCCACCTTTCATTACCATGGCACTCAAAATGTAAACATAAGGTGTTATAAAGTAAAATGGATTTAAAGAAGCAGACGACTGTGTTGGTTTTCTATTGCACTGGCTGATTACACCAAATTGAAAAAAAAAAATCTGTTAAAACTAAACAACATTTGCAGATTATTACCTCTACTTTGATGACATTATTTACAATTTGTAGAATGTTCTACGGGATCTTCTGGACAGATTTCTGGTTTACAAAGTGAAATCCTTTGTTATACTGTACGTAGGTTTCCAGTGAGGTGTTAGCAATGAGATGAAGGCTTGTTTACTTTCATCTGTACTCACACAGAATGCCCTCAATAGCATCGTGTTGGATGAACTTGATGTTGGACAGTCTGACATCAGCTCCTGTCGTCTCCACAAATGAGTCGCCTTTGTCTTTCTTCTCAATCACCACATCATCAGGAAACCCAAAGCCTGGCACACGCACAACACAGGAACCAAGAGGTCAGTGAGTGTACACCAGCTCGATAAGTAAACGTGTTCTTGTTAGATTACACTCTTGTCAGGTTTAGACCCTCCCTGAGCGGTGCTAGTTTAACCTCTTCTCCTTGAAGGGTTAATCAACTCTTGAGTCATGACTGCTTTACATTTCCAACTTTTACATGTTGCCAACTCCTTTTTGAGTACAAAATATTTATACATTACTCTGACTGTAGTAAATACCATGTTGTGCTCTTTATCACAAACCACTCAGTAACAAAATGTAGACAGGACGTGACTGACCTGACTGATCGAGAAGCGATATAACACTATGGTCAGCTCATTTTAAGACATGGTGATTGTTGTATTTACTTAGTCGCTGTACACAAGATAAAGTATGACACAACCCTGTAGTACGGCTGTGGAGGGAAAAACAGATTTAAAGCTCCTGTCTCAGAAAAACTGATCAGCAACTGATGATCTCAGTGTCAATGAAAGCATTTTTACCTTCTATAGTGATGGAGTCTGGTATGAAGATGGAGCTGCTCACGCTGTAGATCCCTGGGAGAATGATGATCACGTCACCCTGATAGCACGACTCCACCGCTGATACCGGCTCACTGTGGAACTAAACACACGACACAGTTATGCTTGAGCTCTGTCATGCTTTCAGTGCCCACAGCAAACATGTCAGAAGTGCCTGGTCATCACCAAACACAATATTATATCAAGTTGTTTTAAAGACACAAACTGAGAGGCTGAACTTAATAAAACTGATTCTAAATTGACAAACCTTACTGAATAAACCTTCACTACATGCAGCTCATCCGATCTGCTGCTCGTCATACAGTATATTTATGGTTTTAAAGTGACAGTTAGTGCCAGTAAACATAAAAAGACAGGGATGACCGATTCAATAATGCATTTATTAATGTCCAAGTTCAATGAATAATTAGGAATCTGGGTGTTTTGCCGACCAAGCACCAGACCGAAAGTAACCTGTCTGCCTCTGGTCAAATGTGTCTGTGGTACTGACCTGGATCTCTGTGTCCCCAGAGGAGCACAGAGGCAGCAGTCTGGTGCTGAGGAGAGACTCGAGCTGGCTTGAGCTGCAGGACGCTGTGACAACATGGACAACCTTCACACCTGATGCTCTGGGTCCACGGCTCTGCACACACTGCTGACTAGCATTACCTTTGTAGCCCAGGACGTACCTGGACCAGGAGATGACAGACTTAAAGGTCAATGGAGAAAATTAGACAAGAGAGACAGAGAAGCAGCAGTAAGATGAAGGCTGAAAGACACACACAGATCTCCTACCTCAGCAGGGGATTCTCTATGATGTGCAGTTTGCGCTTGAAAGTCTCCAGCTGGTCATAGAGCTTAAGACCCTCCACCATGGACACATTGTCCAGCTCAGAGTCTGAGTCAGTGCTAAGGCCACTGCGCAGTAAAGAGAACTGCTGGAAGCACTGAGAGCACTTCTCCAGTAAGGACTGGTACTCTGCCACCAGGCCTGTTGGGACTCTGTCCTCTAAGATGTCATAGTAGCTGAAATAAGACACACTTTTAGACAGGACTCAAGGAGACAAACCATCATGCATCAAGACAAGATCAACAGAGTGTACTCACAGCCTGAGACGAGGCTCCACACAACGAACAAAGTAGTCAAAGTCATCATCTTCATCTTCCTCATCCCACTGCCTCCAGATGTGCTTATAAAAAAACCTGCAGATAGAAGAAGGAAGCATAGCACAGCCAGGCAGTAAACCTTATCAGACTGTCTAAATATATGGACAAACCAGGTCGGGTACACGCAAAAAATAATGTGCAATGGCTAAAAAATATGTTTGTATTAATTTATGGGTACAGGCATGGGTAAAATTAAATGCAGGTGGGTAGTGAGTGAAAAACTATTTTAAATTTAAGAAAATAAATAAAGGTGCAGCTTCTTTACTGTGGAGGCCTGCAGCACAATCTTTGACCCCTCAGCTTACATCCAGCTAACAGGGTGTCATTCAGACATCAGCATAGGTTAGGTGTCAGAAGATATTAGCATTTAGGATTCTGGAACAAACATCAATGAGTAGCCTCAATGCAGCCGAGTCCTACCTGAGATGCTCCAGAGCAAGGGCGGTCTGATCAAAGTCTCCAGACTCTTCATAGACCACCTGCAGCTCCTGCAGTGGCACTTTGTACTGGGCCACTTCCAGCAAAGATTTTATGTCCTCTTCAGTGAGTTCACAGCCTCTGGTGTCACACTGCAGAGGCAACACCAGCATTGCACAGGCCTTCAGATCCTTCAGGTCCACGTCACGCACCTGAAATCACCAACAACTGTTCAGCAATAACACTGAAATCACAGATTTTTTTTTGGTGCCTTCTCAATTGTAACTTCTGTGTCAAAACAATGAACTGTGGTCAGTGCTTATGATGAACTCCAATTGTTATATGTCGATTCAAATAGCAAACAAACTTCTAAGTGTAAAAATCTGACAGGTTTTATAACTTTATGAAACAATCATGCAGCCATGAATAACACTGGTGAGGCAGGAGGCAAGAACTGAGCTTTTTTCTAGGCTTTTATCTAATTCTTCACACAACTACTACACAGATCTAAGGTCTTTCTACTTAGGCTTTAACAAATGACGCCCCTGAAATGTAAATGATTTCCAGGCCACTGGAAAAGTTCCAGTGAAAATAGGCTACAAATTTCAGCAAATGATATCCTGACTGATGATAGAGAATAGGGTCAAGAGGGGTGAAAATAAAAATAGATTTACAATATTAACAGAGATGTGTGTATGTTCATAGTTCATCCCACCTCCACCAGAACATCAAAGACATTAGTAGACCACAGAGCCAGCCAATCACACGGTTCCACCACCTTCTCCAGGTAGTCTGCCGTGAAAGCCTTCACCTCAGAGGGCTTACAGTCTCCTATACACAAACAGACAAACAAAAACTGTGTCTAACAACTCTAACTAATTACTAATACTATACAGTGTTTGAGTTGCACTGTGTGATTGCTGTTACCGAGTATGTAGTCCTGGTACGCCTTGAACCTCTCATAGAACAGCAGGTGGCTGGTCTGAAAGGTGTCAGGAAGATTGGAAGTCACTCCTGTATGACGCTCAGCTCTCTGCAGCCGAGACCATGGCTTTTCAGTGTTAAAGTGGTCTGTGCCACTGTCGTCATCATCTTCATTATTACTCTCATCTTCTTCCTGCTCGTCATCATTTCGCTCATCATTCTGAAACAGAGCTGTTGAGAGAGACATGAATAAGACAAAAATGATGTAGAGGAACTTTGGTTTATATAAGATCTAGGCAAAATTCAGGTGATCTTTTTAACTTATTGTTAACCTTTACTCAACAAGACAGCATCACTGAGATTAGTGACCAATGCTGACACATTTACACACAATCATATGTGGAAGCTGTCCAGTGAAACCGCTGTCTGATCTGCTGACCACTAATTGTCTAATTCTTTGTAATGCAAAACAATTTAAGATCTGGGGGGGAGATTTTAACCAAGAATTTGAGGCAGATAACTACAGCAAATGTACTATTTGACCATTCGCTGTGTCACTCCAGACTGTGGTCAAGTGCATCCTGTTTGGTTTAATTATCCTTTAGATGTGTCCAGATGATCAGAGCCCACTCATGAACATCTCTGCACATAAAGCAGAGACGAGTTGCAAAACCCAAGTCTCTTCTAATATAATATGTCTATTCATAGCATTTTCATCGTTTGAATTGTATCCAGTGTATTAACTACTGGGGGTGGCAGTGCTATGTCCACACAAAGCTGCTACAAACCGTCTAATTTTCCTTCGTGAAATTCTGTAGATTTGCAGATACATGTGGAAACTTACTCTAAATACAGATATATATACTTCCAGAGCAAACTTGAGTGAAGAAGAGCAAAATTGTCTCTTAGCTTTTTGCAACCTTGTCATATGACGGTATAATCGGTAATGTCTGTCTGGGTGAGTTTCCAAGCGTCTCACGAGGTTAGATATGGTCGACCTGGTGGCTTTTGTCTTTTTCCGCACTTTCTTTACAAGAGACAGATTTTCTGTTCTAGTCGGGAGTTTTGAAATCTCCCTAACAAAAGATTAAGTTACTACATCGAGCCACACATTATGAGAAGTCAAGGACTTACAAAGAGCTCTTTAAAAAGGCATTTACATTCATTTCACTGCAGCTGGTATTACGTTAATTGACTGCCTTGTTTGACAGCAGAAAGGCGTTAACGTCACTGTGGCTAACTAGCCAAGCTGACTACGCTGGTCATCACGAAGACATTCAGTACCACTGAGTTTATGTGTTTTAACAGTCAATATGTTAAGTCGTGATACAAACCTCGAGTTGCAGCAGACCTATTATGTCTCTCTCCAGAAACTTCGTTAATGTTGTTGTTTTCTGTACTGAGTTCAACGTGAACGAAAGACTCCCCCTCAACCACCAACACGTCCGACATATTATGAAAAGTTTCAGTCTTTCCAGCAGATGAGGTTTCCTGGGATTCCTGATCCATGGAGAACCTAAGAAAACTACTTGGTTCTTGTTATATCCTGACAACCCCAAAACCAGAAACGTTAAAATAGTCAAGAAATTAGAAAATCACAAAACATAAAGCACACGCCCAACCAGTTACTTTCAAAATATTCCCGGTCTGCACAGTTTCAGCCAATCACAATGAACTATCTGCCGGATGTCCCACCTCCTGATGTCAAGGTTCTCTGAACCAATGATAAAAGGCGTGTTGAGCATGGGCAGAACATTTGTTTGTGTAAAGCAAAATATAATATTAAAAAAAAAACTGAATAATATATAATATACACTTCGTTAGTAATGTGATTTTTTTTTAATTGTGAAGACTGCCAACAATGCATTTAATCGTTTATGCCACTGATTAACCTGAGCAAATACAATGCAGATGCTGTGTACCAAGCCACATATCTGCTCTTTGCTTGTGTGAGGATAGGGTTCAGGAATGCTTTGTGTAAAGGGTAGGTTTGGTCTGGAAAATGGTGTTGCTTATTGTGGGGCTCTAAAGGTTTATGACGGCATGGCCTGACACACCTGGTTAAACATATTAAATCATATACTGAGCTTCCATATGAATGCTCTCCAATTCTTTGGCACGTTTAATAGTATAGACTTACTGTTTATTTTAATTATGTATTTTTCATTCATACTTTGTTTTCAAAATGACAAACAAAATTATAACAGCCATCTTATATTAATACAGTAAGAACAAAAAAGTATACAATGTCTTATTATGTAGGGTGACTTTGTTCAGCTGAAATATTTTATTACAGAAATATTAGTGTTACAATCCAGGGTAAATTGTTTTTGCATGAAAATCCGTATTTAAATTCAACCACACCTATCACATAATAGTCTAGACGGCTGGAATTTGTAACAATCCAAAAATGGCAAAAAAGTAATGTGACTACTCGAATCACTATGCAAATATCAATGTAGTTGAAGTCCCATCAGCAAGCTACTACAAAATGTGCCCTAGTTAAACTACATGTTTAATTACATACTCCCCAACACTGCTTACCTACATGAGTTAGGAAATGTAGAAATGAATAATAAATAAATCAAATACATTTATTGAACTTAATTACATATTTATTTCCCGTGTTACTTTTGGGCCTACGTTCGGTGCGTTGTGTTGTAACTACAGCTTGTCACCGCTGGACGGCAGCAGTAGTTTGGGCGAGACCCGGAATACCCGTAGAAGAAGATTTTGTTTGCTGGTACGGTTGTGGCAGTACTAGTCAGGTAAATACGAGGAGTTAAACCAACATTTCTAAATGTTTTCGTACAAAGTGTGTGAAAGGAAAAAGAACCATATCTGCCACGAGATATGAGTAACTGAGCCGATGTAAAGCTTCTCAAAGAGACTCACATACCTTTCGTTAGCATTGTTATGCTAACGAAAGTGTGACGTTCAGCTAAATGCTGTTTCAGTGCGACGCACCACAGAAAGATGTCCATTCGTTTCAGGATTTGGATTTATCCTTAATTTACATGTTGCTACGTGCAATAATTTATCCATAGTCTACACAAGCACTCTTCCGTGTGTGTGTGTGTGTGCGCGCGCCCGGTTACAGGAGAATTCGCCCCGTAAACACTAGTTTTAATGAGATCGTAATCAGATGTTTGCTGGTCAGTTGCTGAGCTGTGGAAGTTAATCAAGGGTACATTTACCAAAGCAATCAATAAATCGTCATCAGTCTCACAGCTCTTTCTACTACAAATGCTGCTCCGGTTCTGTTCTGACGTCTTTGTGTCTCACCCATAGCAGGTTGCAGGTGTAGACAAGCTGCTGCGTCCCTGGGTGAAAATGTATGATCAGAAAAATGACCACAGCAATGATGTGGATGACCTGTCAGCCAGCGATGACTCTGAGCCCGAAGAATGGCCCAGCAGAGCTCCCTTTGACCCAGAGTTGGATCATGAGGATGATGACAATGACAAGGGAGAGGTTGAGACCTCTGCTCTAGCTGCTCAGCCTTCATTCAGTCTGAGAGGAGGGAGCTCAGCTTTCTCAGACCGCAGACACAGTATCTTTGACTGCCTGGACAGCATATCCCCGCAGACCTCCTCTTCTACGAACCAGGACCACGTTACAGATGGAAAGTTTGTTCGGCCTGAGCCTCCACACCCCAGGAGGAAGACGAGTCAGCCTCCACCCACCAGCCCCCCACCACAGAAGAAGAGAGGGGTCCCAGACTATCTGGTTCACCCTGAGCGCTGGACCCGCTACAGTCTGGAGGATGTGCCTGAGACCAGCGACGGGGACAACAGCAGGATTGCTCACCAATTCCTGTCTAGTCTGCAGCATGAAATACAGAGTGATCCAACCTGTGCCATCCAGCAAAGGATGATCTTCTGCAAACCCAACCGGCTGCTGAAGGAACAGGCTGCAGATCAGCTCTCAGCTGTCAGAGGAAAGGAGAGGGGGATGCACCTGAGTCATCTGGAGGAGGAGGAGGATGACAAGGATGAGAGGTGCAGGGAGAGAGAGAAGGTTGGAGTAAGAAGAACAGACCACAGTGAAGAAGAGACTGAAGAAAGACCGAGAGAGGGGGAAAAGGACATGAGGAGAGCTGTGGGTCAGCCAGAGTTGGACACATTGAAACCATTGCAGAAAGAAAAAGGTGAGGAGGAGGAAAAAGAGGCCAACCCTGGCTTCACCTCCTTCAGAAAGACAAAAAGTAAAAACTACAGGAAGAGTTCAGAGCAAGAGGACAACTAACCATGACACAACTTTGTCAGTGTCATAATACAAACAGCAGTCAAATCTAACTGTTCTCAAACCTGTTCCATAGCACGCTTACACACTAAATTAACAGCAGAGGTTGTATGTCCCATGTCGCCTCTGACCACACCCAGTGTGATTCATAGCTGTGTGCCCCTGTAATGACACCTGACAGTGATGTCACATTGTACTGTAGTACACCTGTACATCACTGCAGCCAGTTGAGAAGTTGGGTAAATCCCAATTCCCTTAATTGCATCCATGTTTTGTTAACTTGCATCCTTTCCTTGTGTCTTAGTCTAACCAATGTAAGTGAGGAAAAAATGTGAGGAGAGAGGTTGTTCCTATGGATATGAGATGTCCTTTTCTCAGAGCCTTCATCTGAAGCATCCAATCACCAACTCATTTTTGATAAAGGGGCACATTGGTCAATAAAAGACTTCTGTGCAGGACGCTCTTGTGTATCCTTGCTTATGGCTCCTACAGCAACCTCCTCACCCCTCGATTCTCAGAGCAGGAGTAAGAGCTTTGTTACGTCCTCCAGATGGCACACAGGGCTGGCTTTCAGGATGACTGAAGTGAGGAATGATCAAATAAGGGATTTGGGATTTACCTGTTGTGTTTCTGAAGTTAGTTGTTAGCATGTCTGGCTAAGTATCTATAGTAAAAGGCCAGAGAGCATTTCATTATTTAATTACAGTTTGCGGGGTGACAAGTCCTGTTAAAAAATTCACCATTTTAAAAGTTTGCCTCAGTCTGTTTTTAACCAACTCATAGAGCTAATGTTAGCTGCATTAGCTCACTATGGCAGATAAAGGCCACCAGTAGAATACATCAACAGTCAAGAAGAAGTGAGAAGCTACTTCTGTCTGAAATCAAAGACCTCATTACAAACATCCCTGTGGACTTGGTGGGTTAATCTGTTATTTCTCTAAATAGAATATATTCTGGAAATGAAAGATTGGCAGGTTAACAGTAGCAATGTCGTCAGTCCACTGCCACTGGCAACCACACCATACCCATACCATACCATAGCAGGGTCTGCGTGTTTCCATTGGATCGTACTCATGCTGAAACCGGGCTGAAAAGAGTGATATCTGGCCCTGAGCAGTAGGTCCCAAAGCGTGCAACCCTATCCCTAACCTGGCCATTTACGTCACTGCATTCTGAGAGAAAACTTGAACAACAGGAAGTGTCTCAGCTGAAAAAAGAGAGCCGCTCCCTTTAAAACAAAAGAAATAAAGAAGATGGCAGCACATTATGAAGAAGCAAAAGGATGCCAATACAGAAGCTATATTTGTCAAATCCATGTTTGCTCTGTTGTGCACCTACTGTTGATGTATGTTCTGGTCACATGAAGAGGGCACTGTGACGTACTCTGCAAGAGCAACACTCATATTTTGCAGTGGAAACACAAACGTGTACTGGTGCCAGGCAGCCCAGGCAGAGAGCCACTCGGCTGGTCTTAGTATGGGACGGTTTCTGGTGGCAGCGGAATGGCAGCATACTTGGGGTGGGGTTCAGTAAACAGTTAACTGAATCCAAATCAGCCTGAAAGGGATCAGGCCAACAGAGGTTTTCATTTTTGAAAACTACTTCAGTTTTAGTTTGAATTAAAAAAAAATGAGCCAAGGACAGTAAAAGTTTGATCCAGTTTATGCTCAGCTGTTCAGACTGAGAGGCATCAGACCCCGTGAGCTGGTGGTTTCTTATTTGATTTGCATGTCTTGTTCTGTATTTTGGGATGGTTTGTCGTTCAATAAAAGATTTGTATTGTCCTCTGTGCCATCCTTTCAGAAAACCTTAAGGGTGTTTATTGTACAAAAAGTGAAAAATGTGATTCATTGCCAATGAGAATAAGTGTACAATATTTACATTTCTAGCCACATCATTTGACAAAAATAAAAAATAAACCATATTTCAAGTTATTCATCCATTCATTAGCTATACTACCTTATTCTATAGAGGGACAAACGAGAATGGAGCTGTCAGGTACACCCAAGTCCAATCCTTTTTTCTTCAAGTGATGCACCACTGATCTTTTCATGGATATGTGAACAAATTGAATTAGATTTTCTGGGCCAGTTTCATATGTAACAATGTCAATTCTATTCTTGACATCCAGTTTTTATTCAGTCTTGTTCAAACCACAACCAGAAAAAAATGCACACCATTCCAAAAAACTGGTATACAAACAGTGAAAAAATAAGAAAAATAGAGTTTCTTTGTTTAATCTACAAAATGACATGAATATTTTTTTATTACTAATGATATTCATCTTGAATCTTTCCAGAATACACTTTCCACATTAGATTCATTGTAGAATTTTAAATGAAACCGCTAGGGAGACATGTAGTTTGGTGAACTAAAGCTGTTTAGAAATTAGTTCAACCTGCTTTGTAAAACATTTTTAAAAAGATCAAATCAAAAATTTATATGTGATGCAAAATTATAACAAAATATAATACTAAAATTTCACATGCCAGCAAAAATTGCCAGTTGAGTTTATTACCTGAGACCCAAACTTGTGCTAAATAAAACAATCTGGGACAGAATCACACTTTATATTTTTCTTGTAAACCAAAAACTGGATTTTGTATTATCTGTAATACAGTCAGGGAAAAAATTATTTGAACCCCAGCTGATTTTGTAAGTTTGCCCACTAACAAAGAAATGACCAGTCTACAATTTCAATGGTAGGTTTATTTGAACAGTGAGAGACACAACAATAACAAAAAA